TTGCCTAACAACCGGGGCATTCACTTAATGACAGCAACCAGGACAGCCAGGATTGCGGTTGCTAAGCAATGCAGTCACATCATGTTTCACCTAACAACCACATCACTTAGCAACTGAAGTTGCGGTCCCAATTGTAGTCAGATAGCAAGGACCACCTGTACTCAGTAAATAGTTAAACAATTTTTAACTATTCTGGTTTAATATAGCTAAAGTACTTACTGTGCTGCTGAGTGGGCTGTTTAGAGCTATTGCACAATTCTGCTATGCCACCAGCACACACCTGGGTCCACTTCATAAGGAGAACAGCAGCAGAATAGTGGCAGCTGTGACTGACCAGGGCCTGGAGGGGAGTAGGTATTAACAAGCCTACTCTGATCCCACCCGCATGATTTTACACATTGTGCAGCTGTTGAATTCTTTCAGCTTTAGGAGGAAAACACTTATTTTAACACCAGTATAGCTAAGGATGACTTAAGGTCCCTTACATTATGGGGCAAGATGAAGGCAATGTTATGAGAATGCAATTGGAAAAAAGATGTTGCCACAACATATTCATACCATGGTTAGGTGCAAGTGGGGAAAGGGCCTAAGATTACATTTTCATTTTCCCTTGGGCTCTGCGTCAGGATGTTGTATAAACCATCAGTATATATCAATATGCCTTATGAATTATTGTGCCTGATGCTATAGGCGTGTTTTTTTTTAGTGATTTGTTGTATTTTTATTATTAATTTATTTTTTGTTATTTTTAATGTTACCTACCCAGAGTTCTTAGTGAATGGGTGGCCATAGAAATTGAATGTATAAGTAAATAAATAAAATTTGAATAATTGCAGCAAATGAGACTGTAGCTCAAGGAGACAACAGTGTAGTGGTAAAAACCAATGCATCCTTTAATATATTTTATTGAGTATAAACATTTAAATCAGGTTAAATCATCAATGTGGCAACATAAAGTATATCCTAATATTTCAAGTATTGTGTACAAATTGTCAATTTACCCAACAAGTTTGATGCAAATGTTAATATTTCTGCATTCTAAATGATAAAGATTATGTCAGAACTCAGGGAAAAAGTCTAATGCACAAACTATAATAAGCAAGAAATACAACTGCAAAAGAAAAAATGTCTTAAAAGAATAATGCTTGGACTGGTAACAATTTGGCTACAACTTTCTGTTGATTAACAGCAATTGTCTATCCCTACCATCACCAGAATTCACCACCACAAACATAAAACAACACGCACGCACTCATTTTACTCTGGGGTAAGGTATTCCAAAGCATCAGCACATCCACAGAGAGGGCTTGCCTTCTGGTTCACAATGCCTTCATCTCCCAAATATGATATGGTTCCATAATAAGTGTTTTTCTTTTTTTTCTTTCAAAGTTTATGTCCTCTTCAAAAGCCTACAGGAGCAGGGTGTGTATGAGCTTGTGATTCATCTTAATTAAATAATTATTTTCTTGCCTAAATGTTTCTTGTAATGGCACTCATCCCTTCCATTTGTTACAATATGAGTTAGCCTTGTGGAACGACTGGTAATAGAAATCTATCAGCAAGTTTGAATCCAGTGAGGGAGTATTGTTCCTGTTAATATTATTGTTATGCTATAACACTATTTAAAGTGTTACAGAACACATTAACATGTAAACTTGTACATATTTGTTTTTCTGAATTTCATGCTCCTTGCTGAGCACCTATGTAAATTAATCTTTAGCTGTATAGGATAGTTTTATAATTATATATTTATATTTTGTATTAGCTTATTATTATATTGTGTTTTTTTTCTTTTTTGATTTGTTTGTTTTCCTGCTGTATGCTGCCCAGAGTTACACTGAGTTGGGCAGCCTTATAAATCTTAAAAATAAATAAATAATAAAATTACATCACATATGATTATTCCGTTCTGATCATATAAATTTATGGTGCTTATTGCCTAGTATTACTTTTTTAAATGAATCATTGCATCAATGAATCCAAGTATTTTAAGCAGCAGGATTGGAACACTTGCTGAAGGTATGAGTTGAGATTCAGTTTCTTATGCCATGATTATTAAAAGAGAATTTGGTCAGAATAAGTCCTGTTCAATTGATAGTTACCAGTTCTTCAGATCTTATCCTAATGATTTCCTCTATCTGATGACCCCCAGTTGTCATTTCCCATTATCCAAATCACTGTGGCCAAAGCTTGCGAAAGATGGGAGTCAAAGTCCTGCACCGGAAGAACCAGGTTGGAGATTTTCAGAAAAAAGCAGCAGCAAGAGAGATTGTATGAAAACTTCATTTTATATCACATCAGTTCACAGTGTTTAATTAATTTTGTTACATTTCTTTCAATCTAAGAAAGGGGAAGCTCCTGAAATGAGGTCAGAGCATCCATGACGTTAATCTGTGACTCGTTCATCAACACAAACTGACAATACTTCATCTGGATGGAAACTATTAATAGAGTAGATGGAACTTTGATATTAGGCTGATATTAGGATGTTGTTAGAATATGATATTTGAGTACTTTATGATGAAATGTTTGGTGTTTGTGTTTTAGACACAATCCTGCAATCCTTAAGTATTCTATATATAATTCAGAAAAATCAATGAAACTTAACAAGATTCCTGGTTCAGTAAAGTTTCAGTAAGGCATCTTCGTTCAATATATGTAACTCTTAGGAATGCCTAATTTAAAGTTTTCATTTCCAAATAGTAATACATTTATTAAAGATGTTCACAAAAGACCAAAAAAAGGGGGGGGGCTGTTCCAAGTCCAGAACAAAACAGCTCCACTCAGAATGTTTTCTCAGAATCTAGGAAATAAGTATGGGTTACATGGCATGACAATTAAGTGGGATACATAGCTGGCTCAAAAATCATTGTGGGTCATTCCCATTAATTCTGATCCCATTGCAATTCAATTGTTGATCATTTAAAATCCATTGTGTGGCTTCATAGTTGTCATATGATTCCCCAACTTCCACTGCTTACTTAAAATGTAAGTAATTTACTTACTAGCATTTAGCAGAATGATCATTTGTTTTCGGATAGTTTCTTCTGAGTATTTTAAATATAGCAACTTAATGTATCACCATGTGAAACAGCCAACTACAGTTTTGTTGATTCCAAAATATTTCAACGGC